CTCTGCCCCGGCCCGGCCGCCGCCGTCCCGCTCGGCACCGCGCTCTCCCGCATCCCCCGGCGCAAACCGCAGCGCTTGTTAATGAAGGAACTTAGGGAAGATTGCAAAACGCCGTAAATAATTCAGCATTGTATTTCAGGGGAGGGGAAAAAAAAAAATAAAGCTTTCTTAAATCATCTCCTCAATCTAACCTGCAGACTTACAGTACGGCCCTGGTAAGTCTGAATTTTTAAAGTAGCAATATTCAAAGAGACAGAGATGTCTGTATTAATTATTTATCCGCTGGTGCCTTCCTTCGTTTCTAACTTATTATTAATTAGGCGCCTCTAGTCTTTCGCAGAGAGCTCCACAGAGCCAGTTGCAGCTTTAAATATGAATTAAAAGCAAATCCGAGCTACTGTAATGCGAAAATTATTCCGTGTCTCCTATGGCAGAGATGAATAGCTGCGCGGATCAATACCGTGAAGCTCTGCTCCGAACGACAGGGTTATTGATAGCTTATATTAATGATGTTAATGATGGAAAAAGGAAAACAAGAACCCGACCAACTTATAAACTTTTTATCTGCTGAAACCCCGCAATCAAGAGGGTAGGAGCAGGAACTAGGGGGGCTGGGGATAATGAGGGCTGGCAGAGATGAATAGCTGCGCGGATCAATACCGTGAAGCTCTGCTCCGAACGACAGGGTTATTGATAGCTTATATTAATGATGTTAATGATGGAAAAAGGAAAACAAGAACCCGACCAACTTATAAACTTTTTATCTGCTGAAACCCCGCAATCAAGAGGGTAGGAGCAGGAACTAGGGGGGCTGGGGATAATGAGGGCGTTATTTATGAAACCGGATGAATGACTGGTGATAGTTTGATGCGTTTGAGCTCTGCGCTGCCGCCTGCTCGGAGGCAGGCGGTGACCCGCGAGCCTTTCACGCAGGTGTCTGATGAGACGTCACCTACCCCGCATCGAGCACCCCCGCGCAGCTGCTGGCATCTCCCTGGGCACGGCAGGGGAAACAAAGGCCTCCCTTCCCCTCGCCTTGGTCTTTCTGTGCCTTAAATCAGAGGATGGCTACAAGCCAAGCGGAGCGCTCAGGCCACCGATAGCATCAGTGGTGGAAAAGTACCACCGATGCAGGACAGTGCCTGGGAAGTTATCGGCAAGATACCACATAGCATCAAACACTTTTCCACTGAAGCTCCAGGCAACTGGTTTCAGCACCCTTCTGATCTGCAAATCTCTGAATAATCCCAGGGACCAAAGCCCCAGGGACAGCTGGGGCTCCTTGCACACAGTTTCAGCCTTATGATGCTTGGCTTTAAACATGTTTGGAGAGAAAAGATTTGCATCTCATTTTGAGGTCCAGTAAAAAAGGACATCAAGTGCCCAAACCTTCAGTGTTTATCCACCCCAAAACAGAGAGGTACTGTGAATCCATTTCT